ATATAAAATAATTTACATAGAAAGATAAAACTAATATATTATACATATCTAATAAATCAAATATATCTATTATGTCTGACCTGTCTAATATGACCTATTTGTTGAATATGTCAGATATATCATATATGTCAGATATGTCAGAAATGTCAGTTATGTTAGATATGTTAAATATGTCAGATATATCAAATATATAAGTTATGTAACATTTGTTTAACATCTCTAACGTTACATGTGTAAATCATTTGCAGATCATCTAATAGATCAATTTTGTAGATCGTTTTTGTAAATCTTCTAGTAGATCAATTTTGAGAACGATGTCGATCATTTGCTAAGCCACATTTTCTTGTTATAATCACCCTGTAACAATATATCAATATTACATGTAATATAAATTTCTCTCTAATTTTTACTAAGTATTTTATTATAATACTATTTTTCTTTTAAAATTACAGTAAAACAATATATATTAATTAAATTATAAAATAATTAAAAAAAATATAATTATCTAATATGTTTATTGAAATATCTAAATAAAATTCCTTAGTTATATACTTTAAAGACCTTATAGAAATATATTTACAAATATTTGTATTAGTTTCTACTTTGCCTTCAATATCTGATGAAAATAATATTTCAAAGATAAGTTGATTTTCTTCTAGTTCTTTTTAATTATTTTTTTGCTGAAATTTTTTAAAAACTGATCCTTTTTCAGTATTTTCAATTAATTGATTAGTAGATCATGATTTTCATTATTTTGTGAATATCTTAAAAGATAAATTCATAAAATAATTCTTTTAAGCAATCCTTTAAATTTATTATATTATAATTTAAAATTTTCTTTAAAGTATCATTAATAGTAACATGAATTTTAAAAAATTCTTTTTATTTATATAATTTATAAGATAGCAACTTATTGAGACAACTGTTTTTTTAAATAAAACTTTTAAATGTTTTTCATCTTTTTGTATTAATTAAATTTAATTATTTTACTTTTAATTTATTTATTAGAAGTAAGTAATTCTAATGTATATATATAACCAACATTTTGATAATTTCACTATAGATTTATAATATTAACACATTTTTCAATATATTTAATTATATTTAATATATATAATTTTGTGAAATTTTAAGTTTTTTAGCTATAGATTTGTAATAAAACTAAATTATAATAAGAATTAATTTTAAAATCATGAAAAAATAAAATATAACTTTTAAAATTTATATTATTTTATTAGAATTTAATAAAAATATAAAAATTATTTTATTGAAAAATAACTGATATAACTAACATAATTAATATATTTAATATAACTAGTATATTAGATATAGCAAATATATTAAGTATCATTAATTTTTATTCCATAACCCTAAACTTCTACCAAATCCTGAAACTAAATTTTATTATAAATAATCGCTATACAAGATACCTAATTATGTAATAGTGATAATCTCTTTTTCATTTTAAAATGTCTGATAATAACGAAACTTCAACTTCAAAAAAATTAAAGTCCACTAATTCTGGTGGACGCCAAAAAAAACCTATTTGGAGATTTTTTGAACAAGAGGATGAATTAGATAAAGGACATTATGTTGCAACATGTTTAGCATGTGATCAAACTTTTCGACCTGAAAAGACTGGAATAATGGAAAAACATATAATTAATTGTTCAAAAGTGGACCATTCAATTCGTGAAGCCGTCATATATATGGTAGAAACACGCGAAATATCTTCCCTTAATGCTACCAATCCTAAACGTAAAAAAAGTCAAGTTGAGAATGAACAAACAACTTTAGTCAAATTTTATGAAAATTCAGAATTAAGTAGAGAACGAAAAGATATTATTGATACAGCTCTTATTAAAGCTTTTATATGTTGTAGCTTGCCATGGCATTTAATTGAACATCCATTTATCATTGAATTGCTCAAGTAACTTCGGCCAAATTATAATTCACCAGATCGAAAAACAATTATTAATACATTATTAACATAAGAAATTTTGCGAGTTAGTGTTAAATGCTATAAGATATTTGATGAAGAAGATAATTTAACATTAGGTAAATTTTAATAATTTTTTTATTTGTAAATATAAAAATTTATATTAATAAAATTTATTTTATTTTCTTATAATAAAGCATTAGATGGATGGACAAGTCCATCAGGCAAATTTCTTTGGAATTTTGTCATTCATCTTAGTAATAGGAGGGATCTTCTTTGGAAGATTAAGGATTTTTCTATCGAAAGTTATACAGCTAAATTTCTCACACAACAAATACAATTAGTTCTTGATGATATTGATGTTCAAAAATTTGCAGGGATTGTAACAGATGCTGGACTAAATATACATTCTGCACAAAATTTAATATCTGAAAAATTTCCATATATTATTAATATCTGATGTATAGCCCATTCATTAAACTTAATTACTAAATATTTAATGAAACATGTATTTGTAAAATGAATAATTCAATGGTGTACAGTAATTGTTACTTATTTTAAAAAATCACATAGACCAAAAGAATTATTAGATTTAAAAATTTCAGAAAAAAATATAGTAGGCGGAGGATTAAAAACTTATTTGGATACACGATGAACAACAGTATATAAAATGTTAGAATTAATTTCTCAACTAGAAATTTGTCTTAAAGAAGTTATTAATGAAAATGCTAACATTATTACAAGTGAAGCTGTTAAAACAATTATTAATTGAAAAAGAGGATTTTTTAATGATGTTTGTGATTTAGCCAATATTATAAAACCTATTAAAGAAGCTATTCTTACTTTTGAAAGTAATAAAGCAAACCTGGCTGATTGTTATTTCTTCTTAACATATCTTGGTCAATCAATTAATAAAATATCTGAAGATGATCACATGATGTTTCGTCAGCATGCAATAAAGATTTTTAATGAACGTTTTACATTGTATGACTTTGATGAATATCTCTTAGCATATTATATTCATCTTGGATATAAAGGTATAAAATTTGATATTTAAATTTATTTAATACAATAATAGAAATTTTTTAAATTATTAACTTTATTAATAAATAGGTATTGGTGTAAAAGAAGTACATTATCGAAGAATTCAAAGTGCAGCTGCACGAATTTGGCAACAAATGTTAAAAATTTCTGATATTGCTGTTTATCTTAAAGAATATAACCATTCAAAAAAACAATCTGCAGAAACTCTTTTAGCACAAATTGGTGAATTTCATCTTTAAGCGAAATTATACAAATCACCATATGATTCTCAAGTAAATACTCCTCTTAGCTGGTGGAAAATGTGTAAACCTACTCCACCTTACATACAATTGCTTGCAAAAAAATTATTTTCTATTGTTCCTCATGCGGCTAACTGTGAACGAATTTGATCAATTTGTGGATGGATGACTGGAAAAAAGAGAACACAATTATCAGTAGAAAATTTAGAGGCTATGTCAAAAATCCATTTGTATTACATTACTAATAGTAAATCTGAATTAAATAATTATGGTAAAGATCGAACAACTGATGAAATTTATGCCACTTTAAATAATACTCGTCATCATATTGAAGAATATGAAATAGAGAAATATAATGAGAAGCAAATGGAAGAAATAATCATGACACGTTCACTTGATGATGATGAACAAATTTCATTTCAAGAATTAGAGATTTCAAAAATACTTGATTTGGAATTAATGTTTGAGAATAAGCCAGTAGGAAATAAACAAATAGAAATTGACGAACTTGATAAATTTATTCAAGAATTGAATAAGGAAGAAGATTTTGATCCAGATTCATTAGTTCAAGGTTTTATTAATAATTAATTAGTTAATTTGTGTTTGATTAATATAATTGATAATGTAATGAAATTAAATTAGTAATAATATAATAAATTTATAAAACAATAAAATAAGTTTTAGCATATTTTTGTTTATAAGTTTCGAAATCGGGTTTCGGGTCTTGGGTTTCAGAAAAATAAATGCATTTCCAAAATTAGGTTTCATTATATATCAAAACCTAAAAAGTTTCAGAAGGTTTCAGTTTTGATATCCATGTTTAACTCCTATAAAGTTTCTGACTTTAAGAAATCCACATCCTAAAGGTATTTCAAAAAGCTTGACTTTTTGAACTGGTAATAAACATTTCTATTTTATTTATAATTTCTTTACAAAATAATAGGTTATAATTGATAAACTAAAATATATCATATGGGTTGTGAGCTAGGAAAATGAGGTTCTGGGACATTTTAACCAAAGTTAAAATTTTTACTTTATATTAA